TCCAGACTCCCAGTCCACCTATTTCCTGGTCCTCTGTCTTTAGGGCAGTTGGTCAGCTCTCCTTGCTCACCCTTCTCCCTCTCCCACACCCTTGTGGCTATCTCCTGGGAGTAGGTGGGTGTGGCCACATCAGGTTCCAACTTTCCCTGGGGTCCCCCTGAGTTGGGGGTACTTAGGAAACTTTAATCTCATCTCCCAGGCAGGCCCAGGCATGAGGCCACCCGCCCTGTGCCAGGAAGACACGCCCTCCCAGCCCTCCGCCCAGGATCACGCAAGCCAAGTTCAACATAGTTGGAGAGTGGCCTATCCAGCGAAGATGTCCACAGAGTGGAACTGATGTAGCCACGATGTGGGGACAGAGCCGGCAGGGCTCCTCCTCCTCTTGTCACTATGCAGAACACAGATGCCATTGGCCCCGAAGTATTTCCTTCCATTGACAGGTCACAGGCTTCAGCTACGACTGCCAGCAGGGTACCTGTGGCCCAGGAGGGACACACCTGGAAGGTGGGAGAGAGGTACCACACGGTGAGGGCTGAGAGGCGTAAGATGCAGTCACCCTAGGACAACAGCACCAGGGCAGCCCAGCTTCTCAGCTTTCAGGTCAGCAGGGAGGGAGAGAGGGTGCACCACGGAAGAGGCAAGTCCTTGGCCCCCAAACCACTGGCGCCCAAGTGGGTAGAACTGAAGTCTGCTACGCCCAGCACTAGCTGAGGTTTGAGGAGACGCAGTGGGCTGCTGCCGGAGGGGAAGACAGCTGCCCTGTGCTGGAGAGACAGTAACCTGTGGGAGACCTGGAACCAACCAAAGTGACATTTTGAAGCTTGGTAGTCAGGAAGCCGTGGCATGGTCTCCAAAACCCCGCTCTACACCGCCTGCCTAAGCTCCAGTGCTAGCTTTGCCACTTGGGGGCCTGAGACATCATTGGGAAGACTCTGAGCTTCAGTTTCCTCCTGATCCATAATTGGGAAGAATGACAGAGACGCCCTTCCAGCGTGGGGAGGAGTCAGGAGCCGTCCCACACTCTCCAACCTGGCAGCTACTCACCACGTGTACCAGGTGCAGTAATAAAGCACCCCACGGGATGGCTTAAATGACGGAAATGTATTCTCTTAAAACTCTGGAAGCTTGAAGCCCACCATCAAGGTGCAGGCAGGGTTAGTTCCTTCCAAGAAAAGAGAAAGAATGTGCTCCGTTCTTGGTTCTGACCGTCTGCCAGCAATCTTTGGGGCCTCCTGATTTGTACAAGCATCACCCTGAAGTGGTTTCATCTTCACATATATTCTCCCTGTGTGTGTCTGTGTCCACACTGCCCCTGTTTATAAGGACATGCTGGAGCAGGACCCGTCCTCCTCCAGTCTTCATTAAAAACATCTGCAATGCCTCTACTTCCAACCAAAGTGACATTCGGAGCTACTGCAAATTGCAAATGTGATATCTGAATTTTGAGGACACATAATTCAACCCATAATACCACACATGGCTTACTGAACATTCAAAAGTTGGAATGAAATATGCTGTATTAAATATATGCTTGGCCCAGCAAGGTGGTGCATGCTTGTAATTCCAGCTACTTGGGAGGCTCAGGTAGCGGGGGGATCATGAGTTTGAGGCTAGCCCTGGAAACATGATGAGACTCCGCCTCCAAAAACAAAGACCAAAAAGAAGTCTTCCCAGCCAGGCGTGGTAGTGCACGCTGTAATCTCAGCACTCGGGAGGCTGAGGCAGGGAGATCATTGCGAGTTCGAGGCCAGCCTGGGCTACTAAGTGAGCTCAAGGCCAGCCTGAACTGCATAGCGAGACCCTGTCTCAAAAAGACAAAAAAAACGTCTTCCCTAAGCATACACCTAATTTGAAACTTGGTATGAAGAAGGAGGAGAAAATGACAATGACATCTCACTATTAACTAGTGGTTGATGAGATAATCTATTTCATTTGTTAATCACATTGATCACATGTTAAAATGACAACATTCCAGATATATTATATATGATACTTTGTGTGCCTGCTAGCGAACTTAAAGTCACTCATGTGGCAGGTGTTATTTTTCCATTGGACAGCAGCGGACTAATATTTACAAACCCTCAGAACAGGGCCTGGTAAGTGAGAAGCACCTATAAGTGCTACTTAAATAAAGACTCCTTGCAGATGACTTGTTACCTGTGGCATTTTTAAATATGACTTTCATTCTCCTCAGAGACTGCAAATGGTTGGGGCACATTTCTTCCCTTGTTTGGCACTTTTTAAACTGAGTGAGTTTCATTTTCTATTCCAGAAGTATATAGCACATATTATGTGATTCTATGTTTTTCAATTTGTTTTGTGGTATTTTTTCCATGTCATTATAAACTCTTTGGCAATCACGGTAAGCACCATAGTTTACTTTAAAAATTATGTCAGACCAGGTGTGGTAATATAGGCCTGTAATCCCTGGGAGGGTGAGGCAAGAGGATTGCAGCTTCAAACCCAGCCTGGGCAATTTAGCAGGATCTTGTCTCAAGAGCAAAACAACACGCACACACGCGTGCACGCACACACACACACACACACACACACACACACACAAAGGGCAAGTGAGACAGCTCATTGCAAAGACCCTGGATTCATGCCCCAGTACCACAAAAAAAGAAAAAAAGACAGAAAGAAAGAAAGAAGAAAAAAAGAAGAAAAAAAAGAAAGAAAGAAAGAAAGAAAAGAAAGAAAGGAAGAAAGAAAGAAAGAAAGGAAGGAAGGAAGGAAGGAAGGAAGGAAGGAAGGAAGAAAGAAAGAAAGAAAGAAAGAAAGAAAGAAAGAAAGAAAGAAAGAAAGAAAGAAAGAAAGAAGAAAGAAAGAACCCCACAAGTTTTCCTGTGAATAGTGCACAAACAACTTTAAGCTTTAAATATATTGTCATTGCCGGGTGTGGTGGTGCACTCCTATAATCCCAGCACTCTGGGAGACTAAGGCAAGACGATGGCAGTTTAAAATCCGCTTGGGCAGTTTAACAGTTTGGTGAGATCCTGTCTCAAAATTAAAGCTAAAACAGGGCTGGGAATACAGGTCAGCATAAAGACTCTGGGTTCAACTTCCAGTACCGTCAAGATAGTTTCATTTTCTGTCAGGAATGTCACAGAGCAAAGTGGTGAAATACTAAAAGATTCTGGTACATATTGTCAAGTAGTTTTCTAGCAAAACAGTTTCTGCGTCTGTCAGCAACATATGTCTCTGTTTCACCAACTTCTAACATCTTATTATCATTTTAACTAATTAATTTATGAGACAGGCTCTTGCTGTGTTGCCCAGGCTAGCCTCCAACTTTTGACCCCGCTTGCTTCAGCCTCCTTTAGCACCTGAGTGCTGAGATTATGGGCATGTATCACCCCACCCTGTTATTATTATTTCTTAAAAGGTCGCATGTATGTTTTGTTCGGGGTGTGTTGTTTGTTTTCTGATTTTTGAGAGAAATAAAGCATCTCATTATTTGAATACACATTTATTTGACAGTACTGGACTTCAAGCATTTATTAACTTAATAACTGTACCTGTGCATTTCTTTTCTGAGAATTGGTGCTTGAAATTCTTTTTTTATTTGTTTCTTTGTGACTTACTATTTTTCTTATAAGGTTGCATGAGTTCTTTATCTATATTTTATTTCCCCCAAATTCATATCATAAATATACATAATGTCTTAATTCTGTTTCTTACTTAACAGGTTTTTGTATTTTTATTTATTTAATGTTTTATTTTATGAGTGTATGTTTATACAATCAAAGTAAACCCTGTACAGTTCCTGTTATTTAAGTGCAGACCATGCCCTTCCAGAGATGTGATATCACTTTGATTTTTTTTTTTCTTTTCTTTTCTTTTTTTTTTAAGTACTGGAAATCAAGCTCAGGACCTTGTGCTCGCCAGGCAGGCACTGTGTCACTCTGATTTCCCTACAGAATTTTTTGGTGATTTCTTTTCGCCCGGCTTGCATTTTTTAAAAGTAAAAAGAAAAAAGCAGGGCACAGAGGATTTGTGGGACAGTGACACCATTTCATATGATGCTGCAGCAGCAAATACAGGTCATTATACAGCTCTCAAAACCCACGAATGAGCCGGGCATAGTGGCACATCTTGTAATCCCAGCACTTAGGAGGCTGAATCAGGAGGCGGAAGCAGGAGGAACGCTGTGAGTTGGAGCCCAGCTTGGGCCACACAGTGACATCCTGTCTCAAAAAACAAAAGACAGAATGCAAGAGTGAACTCTAACATAAAGTATGGATTTTGGGTGACAAGAAGGTCAATAGAGTCCACTCATGGTAATTAATGTCCCATGCTTCTACCAGAGCGGGGCGCAGGGGCAGTGGATATATGGGAACTTTCTGCTTTCTCAGAGCAAAGAGCCTAAAATTTCCCTAAAACATATAACGTATCCATTTCCTTAAAATTCAGAACTATTAGATACATGAAGTCAACATTAATGATGTATTTTTATCTAATTATGTTTAGAAAAATTAAGGAATGAAAACTTTTATTTTCTTTGGAATTAAGTCACTGTAGTTTGGTTTGTATTTTAGTCACAGCTCCTCACTCAAACTAGTGAGAAACCACATTTCCCGGCCTCAGCAGCCACATGTGGCCATGGCCGTGGCCATGGGACTGTCATCTCAGAACTAGGGCTTAGTTTGACCCCATGGGAGGACAGAGGGAACCCATCTTCTCTTGGCTTCTTTTCCTGGCCCCTTCCTCTCCCACCTGATCCTTTCTGGAAAATTCATGCCGAGGCGACTTGTTTTTCTTCCCTTCCCCCTTGACATCAGCCCCACTGGAAGCTGTCCTGTGGCCGCCACCTCCTTCCCACCCCTTGGCTTGCTGCCTGTGGGTCGGGCGCGGGAGCTCACCACCTGGGCCATCCCAGAATTCTCGCCCCTGCAGATTCCAGCCTCAGTAATAATTATGCAACTATCTTGCTGGCAGCCAGCACTGTGAAATGCCACGCATTCTCCGGCCTCAGGGGGCACCGTGTTTTCTAATCCTGCCCAACACCTGCGGGGCCAGAGCTGCTTGACACCCAGGGCTCAGCTACCAGCCGGCGAGCACTGACCGAGCCCAGCCTGTGTTCCCGGACAGAGGTGGGGGGTTCGTAAAGGTCCTCCCTTTAGCAGAGGAAACATTTGCACGGGTCTCCGGCAGGCACGCCCCCTCCCCCTCTCGGAATCGGTAGCAGGTAGCAGTCCCCGGGTGAGAAGGCCTAGAGGTGGAGCCCCTGGCGCAGCCTGGAGTCTGTGCTCCCCGGGGACCTTCCTGCCCCGGGTAGGCTGCGCCTGGCGACTGCAGGGCACGAAGAGGGCAGGGGGAAGGACCGAGAGAAGCCACAACGGGGCAGGGCGGAGCAGGACAAGTGGCTCTCCCATCAGGGCGGGACTAATGTCTGACCCCGCCAGGCAAAACTCGGGGGCAGGGTGGCAGTGACAGAGGTCAGGCCGGCGGACAGGACCTGCACAGCTGCGCCCCGCGCCCCTCTGCCCCGCGGGTGCCATGAGCGGCCGAGTCGGGGACCTGAGCCCCCAGCAGCAGGAGGCGCTGGCCAGGGTGAGGGGCTCGGCGGCGGCGGGGAGGGGCGGGGAGGGATGGGGAGGGATCGCGCAGCGGGACACTGTCCCCTCTCCCCAGCCCAAGTCCCCACCGCAGGCCGGGAACGTGGAGCGCGAGGCACCCGGGACAGGAGCCCTCTGGGAGCAACTGGTGGTGGTGATGAGGGGGCGTTGGAATCCAGCCCCCAACCCCAGCCCTGGTCCTTGTTTCCTGCTGGTCGGGATGCAGTGGGGCTGCCCTGGGCTGCCGGGGTGACACATGACACGGGCTGACAGATTCCCAGACCAGAGTCCCAGATCTCCTGCCTTGATTTCCACATTTGTTTACTTTCTCTTCCTGGCTCTCTGACGTCTTAGGGCCCAAGTCTTCTCCCTATGATTATTTATTCTTATTTTTTATGAAATATTTTTAAAAGGGGCTGGGGATATAGTTCAGTGGCATAACAGTCTGCCTGGCAAGGCCAAAATGGTGAGTTTGATTCCCGGTTCTTGCAAAAATAAAATAGAAAAGAAATATTTTCAAAGGGATTTTGAGATATGCCTGCCAGCTGCACCTGGGACAGTACCATGGGGATAGGGTAGAATGCTCCCTTAGCTCTTTTTTTTTTTTTTTTTTTTTTTTTTTAGATAGGGTCTCACTGTGCAGTTCAGGCTGGCCTTGAACTCACTTTGTAGACCAGGCTGGCCTCAAACTCACAGCAATCCTCCTGCCTCAGCCTCCTGAGTGCTGGGATTACAGGCCTAAGCTACCATGCCCAGCTTGGGCCTGTGAAAGACAGGGTAGTTTAAGATTTGTGGGAAATTATTTATTTTAAGGCTCCTTACTTGGAACAGGATCCTCCAGCAAGGCATGGGGGATGCTGGTGAAGGAAGAGGGTCCTGGTGTTGCAGGGTTTGGGGATGCTGGAGTCTCCTTCTCAAGGTGTTTTCTAGGTTTTTTCTGTCCTGAACAGAGGATTTGTCAAGACGGGCTCAAAAAGTAGAGAAGTTTTACGTTTATTAAAAGTAGGAACAGAAACAGGCTCTGCAGAGAAAGTCTGGGCCCAGTAAAGGTTGGAAAAGAAGTGTACTCTATAGAAGAAAGTGGGTCACAGTGAGAGAACACAGTAGCAAAAAATTCAGTGCAAGCAGGGTGTGGTGGCGCCTGTCTATCATCCCAGCACTTGGGAGGCTGAGGCAGGAGGATGGCCATGAATTCCAGGCCAGCCTGGGGTTCATAGTGAGTTCAAGGCCATCCTGAATCACAGAATGGAACCCTGTCCAAACAACAACAACTAACCTCAGTGTGGACTGTCCTTTTTGTGTCTCCCACTCCTCAGGCTGACTTCAGGCCTAGGCCGTCCTATCCCAAACTGCTCAAGTTCTCACCAGAAGTCCAAGGGCAGGGCTTTGGGAACTGCTCCTGGGATTTTGTAGTTAACAGGTCTCACCTTACTTCCCCAGTCTGCCTGCCACACCCTCTTCCCCTGCCTCCCTGGGACCTCACTCAGCACTTGGGGAATAGAAAAGGTCTGCAAGTAAAGGAGGGTCCTCAGGGAAAGAGAGAGGTACCCAGATGATGGGGCAGGCCCCCAGTTCAGAGGCCTCAGGTGAAGGAGAAGGCATCCCCTGGTGAATCCTGTCCCACTCCTGCTGATGGCCTCTGGGAAGCCCCAGGCATGAGGTGCATAGGACAGACGGGACACCTAGTCACTGGGGGTACATCAGCATGGAGACACCTGTGGGGCAGAGCTCTAAGCCATTTGAAAATATTTTATTGTTTGTTTGAGACAGGCTCTCACTGTGTAATTCAGGCTAGACTTGAACTCACTACATGACCCAGGCTGGCCTCGACTTGCAGCAGTCCTTCTGCCTCAGCATCCTGAGAGCTGGGATTACAGATTTTGTTTGTTCCTACTTTTTCTTTTCTTTTCTCTTGTGGTACTGGTGATCAAACCCAATGAGCTACATCCCCGGCTCTTTGTGTTTTTTGAGATAGAGTCATCTAAATTGTCCAGGAGGGACTCGAGCTTGCTTACAAGTTCCAGGCATGTGCCACTGTGCCCAGCCTCTTTTCCACTATTTAGGTTTTTTTTTTTTGGTTTTGTTTTTTTTCCGGTACCAGGAGTCAAACTCACAACCTTGCACTTGCCGGGAAGGCGCTGTGCTGCTAAGCTAAATACCCAGCCTCTTTTCCATTACTTAAAAGTAATGTGCCAGGCGTGGTAGTGCACTGCCTGTCATCCTAACCCTTGTGAAACTGAGGCAGGAGGATCTCAAGTTGAAGGCCAACCTAGGCTTCATAGTGAGTTCAGGACTTCTGTACTACATAGAGAAATGCTGTCTCAAAAAAAAAAAAAGTAATTAATGCTTATTATTTTTAAAATGTTGTGGGGAAGCAGTGTGAGGGGAGGTTATCATGGTCCCAGAGGTCTCGATAACTATGCCCAGCAGCATTTCCTTCCAGATTCTTCCTGAGCCTCGTGTTGACCACCACTGGCCACACTGCCAGATGCTTCTCTGTCCATATGGCATCAACCTAAAATGGGTTTTTTCCAAGATACTTTAGTCCCTTCCCAGCACCTGCTTGGTGGCTGTCTCTTTGACTTGATGGGCATTCCAAGGACCGTGTGGCCCCCAAAGGCAGAAGACACGGATTCCTCCTGTCCTTGCCACTTTGCTCACCCAGGAAGATTCTCTACCTCCCCAGCCTCGGTTTCCTCATCTGAAAAGCAGGAGTGTGACCTTTGCCCCTCCTACCTCAGGGCACATTTGGAGGTACAAATGAGGGAGCCCATAACCCCAAAGGGCTGAGGGTACAATGTTTTGCTTCCCAGGGGATCTGTCCCTCACAACCCCTTAAAGAAACTTTAGATGCTCAGACCCTACAAGAACCTCCATTCCTGGTCCCCATCCTGTCCCAGGTTAATGTACACCCAAATGCTGTTGATCGTGTTACTTGTTAACACCAGAGATTTTTTTTTTTTTTCTTTTTGAGACTTGTCTCACTATGCGGTTCAGACTGGCTTTGAGCTCACTTTGTAGCCCAGGCTGGTCTCGAACTTGAAATGGTTCTCCTGCTTCAGCCTCCTGAGTGCTGAGATTACAGGCATGCGCCACCGCGCCCAGCTAACACTGGAGATGTTTAAACTGATCATTCCTTTTTAGTTATGCAAGCAATACATGAATGCATTCTTTTCTCTTTGTTTTGTGTGTGTGTGTGTGTGTGTGTGTGCTGGGAATTGAACTCAGGACCTTGTTCTTGCCAGGCAGGTGTTGTACCGCTAAGCTATATTCTTGGCCCCTGTGAATGCATTCTTACCTTAAACATGCTCCGGAAAGCTAAACGAGGTTTGGTGGGTAGCAAAGACAACTCCCTATGGCTTTCCTTACATCTGTTTCCCATTGCAAATTCCAGTTCACACATTCACCTGCAAAAGCAGCCCTTGCCTTCGGTGCCTTTGCAATCTCCTCTCTTTCTCAGACCTGAGCTCCTGCCCAGACCCCCACAGCTTCTCTTTCCGTCCCTCTCTGCTGACTTTGCCTCTCACTTTGTCCTGAAAGTCTCCAGTCTCCAGGATTCCAGGTGCAATAGCAAACAGAAACACCAAAATGACATCCAACATTTGGAGGCAGATTTACTTTACAAGGACAGGCACTCCCAAAATATCAGGCCCTGATCTCTGGTGGTCTAGGGCTTATATGGGATAGGCAAGCAGGACGTACAGAGGCGGAATGGCTTTTCAATTGGGGACTGATTGGTTTATACAATGTGCATCACCGTGACCAGCTATGCACCACAGCGACTGGCCATTTCTAAGAGACAAAAGCAACTGGAACTGGAACAGGAACTACTACCTGGGCAACTAAGAAACTGAAGTGGGGGGCATTTTCTGTTACATTTCCCCCCTCTTTTAGTTTCCCTGGCAAATCTTTACTGGGCATATTACATGTGATCTTTTGAGACGAGGCCCAGCTAGAAGCAGTAACATTAGGGTTTGTCAGTGACCTGAGGATGAGCCCTAGCCAAACTCCCCAAGACTGCCTTATTACAGAGTTTTTCCCTAAGTTGTTTTTAGGGAGAGACATAATTTAGGCCTGTCTGTTCTATAACATTACTCTGGCAAGGGAGTGAGGGAGTGAAGCTGATCGGGGAGAGTGTCCAACGTGCCTTGGATGCTCATCAGATCTTGGTCAAGTATTTGATTGATTGTTCTCTTTTCTTGGGGCAACCATTCATAGAGTTTAAGGCAAAAAACACAGCTAGCAGGGGGCAGGGAAGAAAAGACTGGGAGAAGTAAGCAGCCTGAAAAGACAAAAATCAAGGGGAATAGGTATGGAGCAATAGGAAAAAATCAAAGGGAATAGGTATGGAGCAATCCTGTGAACGGTGTCCTCAGGCTTCCGTCATGCATGACCAGAACAGGGCTTTGAGTGTGTCATCTCTTCATAGTGAGCTGTTTGGGGCAGATAAATTTTTTTCCATAAGATCTAAAGGCTGGATTTCTGAAACTTGTAGAAGTAGTTAATATGAGGGCTGGGGATTTATCTCAGCGGCACAGCACCTGCCTGGCAAGTGCAAGGTCGTGAGTTCGATTCCCAGTACCGGAGAGGTGCGGGGGGTGGGGGGAGAAGTAGTTAACATGCACCTGGGTTGTATTGTGTGGGCAGGAGTGTCTACAAATATAGCTGGTCTTTTAACTGGTTACAAGCTGTTTCTGTAGGGTTATGTTTTATTTTTGTGTAATCTATCTATGCATCTTTAAATGTGGAGAGTCCACTATGATGCATGAGGTCAGGGCTGATGACACAGACGCTGAAGCCTGAGCTGGCTGCAGGGGTATGGGTGCCAGCGCTGCGGCTTGAGCTTGCAGAGCAAACAGCAGAAGCAGGTCTTGCTCTGATCTTCTGGGAATGCTGGGTAAAGTTTTTGCAGCTGAGGTTGATGTTTCAGTCAGTTGGATCCCCAGAGGGGGCTTAGGCCTCTGGACCAGGTTATTTTGTGTCAGTGGTGGCAGGTTTCCAAACAGCAGCAGGAAGCAGTTTGTTGTGCAGATCATCCCTGCAGGAGAGTTTTGGCCTAAATAGTTTTGTCCAAGGTGACCTCAGCATATCTATCCTGCCAGACTTCATTCCTAATGGAGCTACTTCCATCCATAAATAGGGTATACTAAGCATCTATCAGGAGGTCCATTTTTAAGAACAGTTCATCCCAGTACAGCATATGGCCCCTGGACAGTTAGGTCTCAGTCTCAGGTGAGGTTGTCAGCTTTCTTGATCAGGACAGTGGCTGTTAGAGTGCGGAGACAAAAGTGGGGAGGCAGCCCTTAGTGACCGGATCCAAGTTTTTTTGTTTTTTTTTTAAACAGAGTCTCACTATGCAGTTCAAGCTGGCACTGAGCTCGCTTTGTAGCCCAGGATGCCTCGGCCTCCCGAGTGCAGGGATTACAGGAATGCACCACCATGCCCTGCTCCTGGCAAAAAACACAAAAAAGTATTTGCACAAGTAGGCCAATGGGTGCTCCCAAGAGCTGACAGTCTGAGTAAGCATCGTTGTTTTTGTGAACTCAAGGATCCAGATTTTCTAGAGGCCAGCAGCTCTAAGAAATTTGTGGAGTTTCTTTCTTGTCACTAGTTTCTGGAGATATTGCAACAGAGATTTGTGTCTTTCCAGCAGGCAGTTTGAGTGTCATTACTCAAACGTGCAGTTATATTTTGTACTGAGAAACTAGCAAAATTAGCTGTGAGGGCTTTTTCAAAGAGGAAACAAGTTTTTGAACCTCTGGGAGGTTTAGTCCAGGTCAGTTGGTTTTTGGGTCCAGAACTGGGGTCTTTGTGAAGAGGGGCTAGCTGACAGGAGCCAACCAAAGGCAGAAGAAAGAACCCTTTTAGGTCCAGGCAGTTGTACCAGCAGGCTGTGGGTGACAGAAGACTGAGGCAATGTATATGGAGGGCAATTGTGGTGACATTGGTAGCTTGGAGATTTTGAACAGGCTACATAGGCAGAAGAGGTGTATTTTAGCAGTTTGATAGTGTATATTCTTTTGCTTGGGGGACCATCATGGAGCTGGAAGGGACAGAGAAACCTTGGAGAAAAGGTACTGGTGGCTTGGCCAAATGTGTTATTAAAGCCTCCCTGAAAATAGTGGGAGAGGGCCAGGGGTATAGCTCAGTGGCATGAGCACCTGCCTGGTAAGTGCAATATTCGAAGTTTGATTCCCAGTACAAAAAAAATAGTGAGAGAGCTCTTAACCACTTGTAGCAATTGAGTCCAAATGAGTTGCATCTTGTCTCAGGATTTCCCCCCTGCAGGGGCTTATGGAAGTATCTCAAAAGCAGAGGAAGTGATCTTTTAAATCTAGACATGTAAACCAGGTGGCATCTGGAAGTAACAGTCCAAAAAGGGTGTATGGGTTAGGAACCACAGACTGTAGGGTAATGGCTACGTTGTTGATGGTATGGAGATCTTGCACTGGTTGGTAATCCCCATTGGGCATTTTCACCAGGAGGAGAGGAGTGCTCCAAGGTGATTAACAGTCCATCAGGATCTCGAACTACTGTGTAGCTGGATGCCTGTTCGTGCTTCCCGTGACATCTGACAGCAAGGGGGGAGAGGGAGGGGGGGTCACGGTGGGGTGGCATGGTTGATGGCCAGGCCTGGAGGAGAGTCTCTAGTTCACACCTCTGGAGGAGAGTTTTCAGAACTTCAGGACTGCAGTTGTGTCTCAAGCTGATGCAGACGTTATCTGCCTCTTGGGGAACAGAGTTGAAAGTGCAGGGTTACATGAAAAGGGAGGTTGATTGGCTTGGTGCAAAGGAGATGGTCTCTTCTGACTTGAAGAGGAGGTCTCTTCCCAGAGCAGTATGGGGACTGACTTAAACAGGAATTCATGTTTGATGAGATGTCCTCCCAGGCTGCAAGCTTGTGCCTGGCAGAAGGGCAAGAAGCAAGAGTCTCAGTTGCCCAATGATAGTACTATGGGCAAGATCTCCATACCATCAACAACGTAGCCATTACCCTACAGGCCAGAACCTAGTCTGGCCTAGTCTGAGCCTGTCAGACCAATGAAAGGGTTGAAACTTTTGAGAATTATTTATTTACTTATTTATTTATATACATAGTCCTTATAACTATAGCCAGAGGGTATGATCATCTATCAGACTGGTTGTTTTTTTTTTTTTTTTTGGTCTTTTTTGAGACAGGGTCTCACTATGCAGTTCAGGCTGGTCTTGAGCTCACTTTGTAGCCCAGGAGGGTCTCAAACTCACAACAATCTCCTGCCTCAGCCTCGTGAGTGCTGGGATTACAGGCATGCACCACCATGCCCAGTTTTGCATTTTCTTATAGACATCAGGTGCTTTTTAAAATCAGGCTTCTGCCAGGCATGGCGGTGTATGCCTGTAATCCCAGCATTCAGGAGGCTGAGGCAGGAGGATCATTGTGAGTTCAAGGCCAGCCTGGGCTACAAAGTGAGCTCAAAGCCAGCCTGAACTGCATAATGAGACCCTGTCTCAAAAGATAAAATCAGGTTTTTGGGTAACAGTAGTTAATGGGCTTCTTGCTCCCCTTTTTGATGTCTTTGAGAAGTGCTTGACAGGGTTTCTAGGTGAGGCAATCTTTGATAAGGCCATGAAAAGCACTGGTCTTGGTGATTGATTGGGGCCCTCATTCATCAGGGCTGACAGTCCAATTTTTTCTCAAGTGGAACTCACAATGTGGGTTCACATTTCACAATGTGGAACTCAGAAGGAATTGTTGACAGTCATCTCATGTGGGCGTTGGATGATGCCATCTGACCAGGATAGTTGTGTAAGCAGAAGGCTCAGGAGGAGGGCCTCTGTGGCCAAATGCAGACAATGGCTAGCTAGAACGAGTACAATTGGCTGGAAGCAGGCAAGTCGGAAGTGGGGAGTGAAGCTATAGGTGTTGGCAGCAACTGCAGCAGCCAATGAGGGTGCAGAGGTGGAGTTCTCGGGAAGAATGGGCCTCTTTCTTCCTTTTTTGTTTCTCTGAGCTGCAGAAATCAGTTTGGTTTCATTTTTAACTCAGTAAAAGCCCCTTTTCCTGCAGTCAGGGACAGTGGGTTTTAACTGATTAAGTTCCATTCTATCTCCCTATGGTGTGTTGTGTACCCTTGAGCAATGTTGCAACAGACAAAGGGTGGGTGCCCCTCAGAGAGAGACCATTCAATCCTCATGGGGACTTAGGTTCGACTTAGCTAAGGAGGGTGTGAGGCCTCCTTTATGACATATGTTGATCACCACAGAACCGCAGGTGAGGGCCCAGTCAACCACCAAGACCACTGCTTCCCAGTCTTGGTGCAGACAGAGCAACCTGTTGCTTATGCTGTCTGTTCCACTCACATATTCATTCAGCAGGCACTTAGAGGTTAAACATTCCAACCCCCTTCCCTCCAGGGTGGTCCCGACTAATGAGAGATGATCAGACCCCCTTTCTGCTCTTCTGCTTGATCTGAGTGGGACTGACAGACTGACTAAATGGAGTACCCCTGGGGCTCTAACTGGAATCAGGCAGGCAGACAGATAGATAGACAGACAGACTGCATCCTCCTCCCTATGAGGTCTGATGTGAGCTGCTCCAGCAGGGAGCTAGGAAGCCTCCTCCAGACCTCTGAGGGGACTCGTGAAATCTCAAGGGCGCACCTTCCCCTCAGGACCTGAAGAGGTCCTTGCTCCATCTGTGAGGGCCACAACTGGGGAGCAAAGAGGTCAGCGCAGTCAGTCTTCCAGGCTGATGCACCAGGTACAACGGCAAACAGAAACACTGAAACGACCCCCAAAATCTGGAGGCAGATTTATTTTACATTGGTGGGCACTGTTGGGATCATTCCCAAAATATCAGGTCCTGATCTCAGGTCATCTAGGGCTTATATTGGATAAGCAAGCAGGATACAGAGGCAGAATGGTTTGTCAATCGGGGGGATTGGTTTATACAATGTGCATCATAGTGACCAGCTGTGCATCACAGTGACCAGGTGTTTCTAAGAGACCAGAAGCAACCGGAACTGGAACAGGAACTATTACTTGAGCAACTAAGAAACTGTAGTATACTGGGGGGCTGGGGGGCCATTTTCTGTTACACAGGTAAGTCGCATTTGCTGAGTGACAGCCCACAGGTATCTGGTATCTGCTTGGGCCAAGTGCAATGCTAAGTATCTTATGTGCATACATTTATTTGATTGACCCAAATTTATCATTATGCCCACTGTACAGATGAGCAAACTGAGGCTCAGAGAGGTCAAGTAACTTGCCTCCAAATCCAGACCCCAAGGTGTAATGTTATCAAGGGGAACATTCCCAATACATTTGGCTGGCTTGTATTGGAATCACTCAGGGATCCTTGTAAAAATAAGACACCAGGGCCTCGCCTCACACTTGTAGAATGACAATCTTGGGAGTTAGAGCACTCTCAAAGGCTAAAAAGGGCTCACCTCTTCCTTCTCTGGTGGGCTAGGGCTGCCTCACTCCCAGAACACAAAATGGCTCAGGGCAAGTGCTGTGTGGTCTTCACTCTTCAGGGTCCCCAGGTTGGCCTGACTGGCAGATGAAGGTAGGAAGAGTTAGAGATGGGGTTGGTGGCCCAAGGGTCACAAGAGCCCCTCTGACCGTTTATTTATTTATTTATTTATTTATTTATTTATTTATTTATTTTATTTATTG